AGCTCTGGAATCCAGCTTGGTCAGCGGGTACAGCCAGACTCTCACTGGTACGGCCTTCTCCCCGCTGGCACCCAGCAGCTTGGGGAGGGTGGAATAAATTTTCATGGCATCTTGGAAATTAGTTGGATTTCTCTCAAGAGCAAAATCACCATGGAACTTGCAGTTAAAATTTTCAGCATTTAATTTTTCCTTGTCATCCATTTTGACAGCTCCTTCCCCTTCTACGGAAAACAGGGGTATCTTTTTAATTGCAATCTGGAGCTTTCCCTCTATCTCACGTACATTCTCAGAAGAAGAAACTTCCCGATCAAACACGAAGAAAGCCTGAGCCCCGTACAGCACAGCCGTGACCACATGGGTGGCCGTGCCTTGGTCAAATACAGCAGGATAAGAGACATTCTTTGGTCCTAAATGGCTCATAGTTAGGTGCTCAAACTTTGTTGTGGCAGAGTACTGGAGAGTAACTCTGGCCTGTTGTTTGGATTTTTTGGTGTCATTTAAGTATTTGGCAGATCCACTTACTTCAATCAACCCCCCCAGGAAACTGGCCTTCAGCGATGCTGTGACATTGAGGGCACTGGCCTTGTCTTCAATGGTGTCAGATGCGATGATCTCATAGTTAGTCCAGGGTTGTGGTTTTGTGTTTACATCCTTGAGAAGCTGTTCCAGGCCCCACAGCGTGATCCCTGGAATAGTAGAGACAAACACATGGTAACGTAACTGATAGATGCACAGGACAGAGTCTATCCATGGTTTTGTGTCTCATTTCTGAGATTGAAAAATAACGAGTGAAGGACATCAAGTAAACTGACCTGGTAACGTACAAACATGCCAAGTCAAGGCTGAACTACGCCCCTAACAACCTTCCCTTGCCCCCGGCTTCTTACAGGACTTTGGAAGACGTGATCTTCTCTGATTTTTTTTAATAAATCCCTCTCCAGAGTGACTGAGTTCACTCCACTTCAGGAGTACACTGTCACAGGCAGCAAGTGCTCTAGTTAGGATTGAAATGTCACTTCATTAGAAACATCTGGTTTATTCGATTTAAGAAGCTAGGAATTGCTACGCTTGACCTGATCCGTGATCCATCTAGCCCAGTATTCTGTCTCTGAGCGTAGCCAGCACCAGATCCTTCACAGGAAGGCACAAGAAACCTACTGTATTGTTGGAAAATCTGCCCTCATGCAGGTCTCATTGATCTCCAATAGTTGGAGATTGGCTTAAATCTTAAGCATGAGGTTTTATATCCCTTCCTCCACTTTCTTTTCATTGTTATAATCCCCGTATTCCTGTTACCCATAGAAACGTCCAGTCCCTCTAAATGTCTAATCCTGGCATCAGGACACAAGGCTGGTGAGACAAAGGCAGATGGGAGACTAAGGGAGTAGCCGGCTGAGTTTGCCAGGGAAGGAAGGCAGGGAGGTCGGGTTTTTCTTTAACTTGAAGGCACTGCACAAGGAAAAACCTGCAATGGTGCATTGCCAACACCTCTGCTAGCTCTTAATCTGCCTGCAGCTGTGGGGGCCCTGGCCAGACAGCCATCCTGACTGGAGGCTTCTACCCAGATCCTCATCTTCACTTGCTGGGAATGCAGCCTGCATGTCCCTGGTGAAAACAGCCAGGCCGGGGAACCAGCTGGTGTGAGAGGCGTCTGTCTGGGGAGTCCCTCAGGGAGCAGGTAAGAGAGCTGTGGTGGGAAGTGGCTCATCTGTGTAGCATCTAGGAGCGTGAGGACTTCATCACCAGGATGCCCATGGAGACAGCCGGGATGGAGGACGCTAGCTGAGTAGGGATGACTACAGAGGCACCAGAAGAGGGAGGAGACCCGGCTGCTCTGCAGAAAGGTGACTGGCTGCTGGCCACCTTAGACAGGAGGCTGTGCTCCACCCCACCCCGCTCCTCCATCCGTCGAGGTCAAGAACTGGCACGTGCTGTACTGGCCACAGGAGGAGAGGAGCAGACCCCAATGGCTGAGGGAGAGGAGCCACCTGCTCCCAAGGCTGGGAGGCTCACGGTCCCCATACCCACCAGGAGGGGACGTAGGTGGCAGTGGTCTGGGCTCCCTGCTGAGAGTGATGGGAGCCTCCATCTGCTGACCTGACCTGACGTCCCAGGAGTTGTGCTGCCTGCCTGGAGCCACATCCCAGGTGTTATGGAAAGGTTGCCAAAGCTCATTCATCCATCTGGCCACTGCCGCACACTGCGCATCTACGTGGGCACTGACGATACTGCCAGTCTGACCCTGCGCAGTGATTCCTAGGCTCTGGGAGTGAGGGTGAAGGAGTCACGGTCCCATGTTGTGTTCTTGTCCATCCTCCTGGCTGAGGTTAAGGGCCCAGGCAGGGACGCGCACCCTGGAGATGATGCACAGCTGTGCGGGTGGTGTCAAATGGCGGACTTTGGCTTCCTAAACCCTGGGAGGCTGTTTCGGGAAGGAAATCTGCTGGGAAGAGATGGGGTACAGCCGACCAAGAAGGGGCGCAGCATCTCCGAGCACTGACTGGCCAACCTCGTGAGGAGGGCTCTAAATTAGGATCAAAGGGGCGGGTGACGAAAGACCACAGGCAAGTATCAAAAAAGTGACCTTCACAGAGGGCGAGATGTTGCTGGGGTGAGGGGGAGGTGGAATAGAAAATGTACAGTCGGGTCATAGGAGCAACAAGCGGGATAACAGAGGGGGAATCTGCTCAATATCTTACTTGTCTATACACAAAATGCCAAGGTGTAATGGCAGA